TCTCTGGAAAGTTGTTCAGTCCTTCATGGTAAGCCTGGAGTTCCTCTTCTGTGCCTAGAAAAATACCAAATATGTCATCAATATATCGGTAAAAAATCTCTGGTTGTTTATTTAATTTCTTTCTTTTCGATTCAATACTGGCATGCACAAAAATCTCAGCTACCGCCACCGATACTGAGGCTCCTATGGCTGTTCCCTTTCCTTGTCTGAAGAACCTGTTGTTGAACCTCAGCAGGGTGCCTCCCAGAACGTGGTCAATACCTTCCTTTATGAGGTATGGTGGGGGTGCTGCCATGTTGAAATCTGAAAAAAGTCTCTCCTCCACATAAGAGAAGTTCTGCTCATAGAAATTTGCTACCACATAAGCTGCTTCCTCCTGTGGGATAGAGGGGTAAAGAGAGACAATATCAAATGAAAATAAGATGGCTCCTGGGTATCTTTTTGCATCTCTCATTTTCTGTAGAAAGGAGGTCGTGTCCTGCAGTCTTTCTGGTAAAAGATCAAGGAGAGGGGTCAAATAAGTGGTTAGAAGGCGGTCTACAGGTCTGGTTGGGGAGCTGCAGCCACTCAACACCGGGCGCCCTGGCCATGCACCTGTAACATGGTCCAAAGGCTTATGAGTTTTGGGGAGGACATACCAGTGTGGAATGCTGGGTTTATGCTCTAGGAGGGCATCTCTCTGTCCTGCCGAAAACTCCTTCTCTTCCTTCCTTCTTTACCTGGCCTGTCAAGAGTAAAAAAACGATTAACTAACAACTTACTTTCCCTCTGTACCGTTGCTAGAGCCTCCTCTGGATTATCCAATTCAATATATGTTTCTTTATCCATAAGATGCTTATCACCCATAGCTATATAATTGTTAGTTTTCATGACCACCAAAGCACATCTTTATCTGCTTTTTTAATAACTATGTCTGGATTTTCTGCTAATTCTTTTAATGCTTTGTGTTCCTCTTTTGTTAGGTTGGGTCTCTCTTTCTTTCCCATGCCTGATACACTTCAAATAGTTCACACTTAATCACATTTTCAAGTCCTGGCATCTTACGAGGTGGAGGGGATTTCATTTTCTTGGAGGGTAATTGTTGTGGAAGTTTTTCTTTTCCTTGGTTTCTCCTGTAGATGCTCCAGGCAGTAGAGAAGCTGTGAACCTCTTATTTATGGTTCCTTGTAGATCTTCCAACGAGGCTTGAAAATCTTCCCAAAGTTTCTTTTTCCTTGGGGGGCCTGGCACAAAAGACCTACCTTTATGTAGAACCGAGAAGTGTATTCTTTCAAGGGGGACTTCACTTACCACCAATTCCATGCCCAATTGTTTGGATCTTCTTCTTGCCACTGTCTTCCTTCTCTTCTTCCTGTTCCCCACTGGGAGTTTCCTCTTTGATGGTCTGCCCAACCATTGTATCTGTTTCCCATGTTGTGTCTTCTTTCCTTGTGGGGGTTCCTCTGTCCCTGCCACCTGTATGTGTTCCTCTGATGGCTGGGGTACCACTCTCTCCTTCGGAAACCTTGGTGGGGGTAGGGTCTTCTCTGGAAGTCCTGAGGGGGTGTTTGTTGGTACCTCTTCCCCTGTTTACCCTGGCATTCCTTTGTGGGTAATGTTGGGGTGGGTTCCAGGTGTTCCTCCTCTGGTCCTGCCTCTGTTCCACCGTCGTTTCCTGTGTCCTGAACCTTCTCCTCTGGGGCTGACTTGTGGCTTCTCTTTGTTGTGGGGCATTCTCTTGTACCCTTATGTCTTCTTGTGTTTGTTGTTTTCTCTGCTTTTTCCTTGGCTTCCTTTTCTTTCTCCTTCTTTCCTGTGAGGCATGATCCTGAAAACCCTGCCAGGAAGACCGATGTGGCTGACTTGTTCCACTTTGCTGGGGAAGTTGCTGTCCACCCTGACTTCTTGCTGTCAGCTGCTCATCTTGCCTAGCTACTATGTTTTCCATTCTTTCGATGGCTCCTATTACTCTTTCTATGAGGTGCTGACAAGCATTTACTTCCTTCATCAGGGGGGAATGTGTGTCTGTATCCTCAGCATCTTGTGTGGTCTTCCTCTTGTAGGTAATCTCATGGGGACCAATAGATAAGATCGAAGGTTCTTGCACCTCTTCTTCTGGTGTTTGAGGTTCTTCTGGGGAGTCTTCAATCACAGGAAAATGTTCCCAAGTCAGGTTGTTCACGTCCTCTGGAGGTGGAGGTGCTTCTTCTGCTACTCTCCAGGGTCCAGTTACTGGAGTTTCTCCTCTCTCGGGGGTTTGTATGCATTCCTCTGTGGAACTTTCAGCAGAACTCATTTCTGGGGTGTGGGTAGGTGGAAGTCTTCACTCTCTTCCTCTCTATTTACCATGAGTTCTCTTGTTCCAGGGGGGGGATCACTTTTATTCTCACTCAACCCAGTGCTAACCTCTTTTCCCATGCATATGTGGATCATTTCTTTTTCTTTTTCCGTTAGTACCAGTTTTGATTTTCCTTTCATATATTTAATTAGGGGCATATGGTTGGAAATGAGAAAGTACTTTTCCTCTGGGGGGGTCCTGGACGCAAACTTATCCTCTACCTCTAGAGCTCTCCTATATGCTTCATGGCAAATCTCCCTATAATTCTCTGGGTATCTAATTTTGAACTCATTTTTCATATCAATGATGTCCCATCTCGTCTCCAATGCCTCTGCTCTAAGGTAAGCTGCTACCAGGCCTTGCCATTTCCTAGCTGCATCTCCCCAAATCCTTTCTCCCATTTCTATCAACCACAGAGGAGGTAAATCACCTCTTGCCTTGGGGTAATTAGTACTAACCGTGGTGAACCTATCTACAACTCTTTTTTCTTCACATTTGTCATAGAAGGCTACCAAACACTGAGCTGAAATTTCCTGCTTATATAGATAGGTTAACCTATGGAAATCTGCCTTCTCTCCCTCTTTTATCCGGTAGGGGGCCTTGGGGTCCATAGGAATATCAGGGAAGGGGTCCTCAGGGAAGCCTACTTTTTTTGTATTCTTGAGCAAGGGGGCTAGGGGGGAAGCTTCTATAGCTGAGTTGCCCTCCACCCAAGCATCTGGATGTGTCCATCCTCCTGTCAGTTCATAGGGGTTTATGTTGGGGTTACTCTCTTTATTCAACCTAACTTTTCTCCTGATACCCAAATCTACCTGATTTTTCATCTCTCCCAAACTATTACTCAGGAGGGAGAGCATCTCTATGCCTCCCCATCCTCTCTCGAGGGTCCTGAGTTCATAGCTTCATCAACCTCCTGCCTGTCCTTTATTTTCGCCTTTTGCCTAGTCTCCATTGGGCTAATTTTTAACTTTTCTTTTAAATTTTTTGTTTTTGTAAATTATTGCCAACTTGGGCTAGGGGTCTACTGGACAGGGTAGGTAGGAATATGTTCCTTGGGCTAGGAAAAAAGGTATGTACCAAAAAGGAAGGGGGGGGGAAGGTTAGGTAAGGTTATTTGGTTAGGATGCTACACAATATGTTTCTTTTCTAACTTCTCACATACTATTTCTATTTCTTCCTTTTCTTTTCAAACACTTCACTTTTGTAAAAACACTGTCACTTCACTGTTAAACCACTAACACAACCTTTGTTGCACTTATTTATTCAATCAAAAACTAAAAACAAGCTCTTCAAACAAACACTGGTCTTCACTTCACTCGAAAAACTTCAAGCACTGAACTATTACACTACTACCCTTCACAAAAACAACAAAAAGACTGTAAAAACAACACTCGGTAGTAAACGGGAAAGGAGACACAAGAAAAAACAAGGGAGAAAACCTAAAAAAGGAAACTCTGTAAAAAACACAAAGGCAACTCAAACAAACAAACACTAGAAACAAAACTGCTAAGAACCACAAATGTTTTTGGGTTAACTTAGCTCTAACCTGTCTCCTTTGTGATGTTGTAGAGGGCGCTTCTTTCTTGGTTCTTCTCGTCTATATCTGTTTTCAGAACACTTGTCACTTCACTTTCCCTGTCTGATGGTATTGTTCTTTCAAATCTTTGTCACTGTTATGATGTTAAATTTTTCTGAAGGGTAATAACACTCTCACATCACTCATACACTACAGTAAAACCTAGGCGCGAGCGCTTTCGGCCGACGAGGCCTCTTCAGGCACCTTGGTAGGTTAATACTGATTCTTTTATTTAGAAAATTCTCTTTATATACTCTAAACAAAGGGGACAAATGATGTGGAGTATGTAAGGTAGGCCATGTCCCCATTTCCTGTTTCCTGTGGGTGACAGGTGACAGGGGAAGTGGGGGACTGGGGGTTCCTCACCTTACTTCAAACAACAAAAAAATATATATATATAACATACATAGTATTCACATAAATAAAATAAAAATACATAGCTACAAAACAAATATTGAAAAACAATGGGCAAATATTCATAATGGTATACAAGCTTTATGAGGAAGTTGTGTACCCCTGGTGAAAACATTTTTTCTGGGATATCAGAGGGGTGGGGAAATATTTATTGTATCCATCATTTTACATTGAACTTCATCTTTTTTACAAATACAGAAAACACAATAAAATATATAACATACAGTAAAAACAACGATAAACTGGAAAAACACATATAAATGTAGACTGGACTGGGTTTCTTCTTTCCAGGGGGGGAGTCCACAAGGGGGGGGGGGCGGCGGGGGCGCTCATCTGCTTGATCCAGTCTTCTGACTCCAAAGGTCTCCTGGGTAGATTTTGATAGTAGGCTGTAGGACAGGAACCCTGTTGAGGGCTACCATATGGTCAGGAAAAGAGGTTAGGTTCGTTTCTTTGGTGTTCCCATCCAACTGTCCTGGTGCCTGAGAAATCTGAAATGAAAAAACGGAAAAAACCTACCGAGAAAAAACAGGGAAAGCGGCATGAAAGGAGGGGAGACCAGAGGGGCTGACTGAATACTGCCGATGTGCCTCTTCATTCCCAACTGCTTTAAACCTGTGGAGTTTTTATTTTTTACTTGTGTTCATTAGACCTGTTTCTTTCAACTTTTATCTGTTGGGAGTCTCCTCACATTATCATCAACCAACTCTCCTGACTACTCCTGTGTTTGGGTTGTGAGAAGCCGGGGAACTGGGAGACTGGGGAGGGGGGGAAGACTCTAAAAAAACATGTTTACCAAAAATTTTTTTATGCATTTTTGTCTGGTAATATTACATACTCTTAGACCTTTATTTTAAAAAACCTTTTTAAATGGGAAGGCTCTTCTCCTGTGTCTCACCTAACTTAGCTGAACTAAGTTGGGGGAACTGGGAAGAGAAAATACAAGGTTAATTTGAGGGCCTCTCTCTATGGCAATAGAGGAAGGAGGGCCTGTGAATATGTCATGTTCTTGTAATATGTATCCAAAGTAATTTTCTCAGTATATTATTTTGGTAAATTCCTTTGTAAAAATATCTTAATGAAAACTTTATATGAACTGTAGCAGAGAGGAACATGTGTCCTATATATAGATATGAAACTACTCAAAAGCACATTCCTATCTATTCTTATAACATATATGTACATATTTATATATATGATACACACGTTGGTTTTAACAAAATATCTTTATCAAAGATATTTTTAAGGGAAACCTATGACTCATCTGCCAACAGCCATTTTAAAAAAAATATATAAATTTCCATGTTAATACTCAGATGAGATGTAACCATAACTGATCTTACACTATTGTCTATTCTTTTTACTTGTAATTACTCTCTTTGCATGGTAAGCTGAAAAGGAGAGGGGGAGTTTACATGGGGATCCACTGGGGATCTCTCTGACCTTACACTGCTGGTTTGGAGGACTGGGGGAGCCTTGGGCCTCCCCTGTTCTCCTTCAAATACCTCAGTCTTGTGGTCTGCCATTCATTCACTCCTT